TTTTTTAAATATCCGAAGTATTCCCATACTGCAGATATTAACTTTTTTTTTCGGCGGGGATGGAGATTAGATATTATCTCTGTCTCTGTCATTTTCTCCGTGTAAAGTTAAGCAGCCAAGTGAATGCAGAGTGAAGCAACAGAGCGAAAATAAGTTGCATGTGCGCAGGTGAGATTTTTTTTCATTCATTTTTTTAAAACTAGCTATGCAAATGTTTACGGTATGATAACCGTGCACGTTCAAACCGTGATAAACCGTCATACCGGTATATCGTTACAACCCTAGAACACATGCAAAAGAACACAACAGACAGGTCACTAGGGGTATCACATACAGTTATGTTGTTCATATACAGTTAACTTAATATCAGGGGTTACTCTCCCAATAGTCTCGGAGGAGAGGGGAAAAAAATTAATAAATAAAAAATTAAATAAATCATCAGGAAAATATTTGGTAATGGTACTTTCAAGTAGGGTTGTGACGGTGAGGAAATTTTCCCACCGGTTAATCGACGTGTGACAACACCAGAACATACAAATCCAGAATATTTTTCTTGGACAAATATTTCACATATTGAAAAATAGGAAAAGATTATCAATATAATAATACTGATAAATTGTACATGTGAGGAAGTGGAGGGGGAAAAAACACACACATACTACAGTACATTTACATTTAGAAAAAAACTTTAAAAAGAGTACATTTACTTTTAAAAAAGAAGTCTGTCTTTATTTAAACAAAATACATTAAAAACATATTTGAAATGTCATTACAATTTAAAGATCCGTTTGCATTGATCTTTCAGCTTCGTAACTTTGCAGATATCATTTATGCTCAAACAGCAACATTACACACTAACTAACGTTAAAAAAGTGAAATCGCAATGAACCACCCCTTTAAAATAGCAGCTGCATTTAAAATGTACACTATACTCAACATTTGAAGTGGATCAAAACCTTTCATCAAAGTTGTCTTAAAATGTAGTAGGTTTTTAGTGGTAACTATGGCAGAAATGTACAGTAAAAATCATGCAGATAGTTACAAATTACACGTAATCAAACAGATGGTGAACACTGATAACTGCAATGATTATATGTTGCGAGTAAACTTTGCGATTGCGATTAAGCAAAATTTGGTAGTTTTATGTTTTATATATATTTAAAATGTTTTTAATGTTACTTTTGTTCAATTTAATGCATGTTTGCTAAAAAAAAAAAAGTATTAATTTCTTACAAAACACCACAGACTTTTCCACAAACAAAAATATATACACTACCATTTAAAAGTAAGATTTTTAGTTATTTTTTTTCAGAGAAATTAACTTTTATCCAGCAAGGATGTTTATGCATGTATGTTTTTACCTCAGAAACATTATTCATTGTAGTTTAGTCTATTACAATTAGGACTGTCAGTCACATTAATTTCTTAATATGCTGACTAATTGATTGAATTTAATTGTTGCATATGAATTCAACTTGAATTCACTTTTTCAGATGGTGTGCAGATAAACGACTATGCTGAAACATTCAATGCTCATCTGCGTCTGTGCTTGGTAAAGCAGACATTACCAGTCGCTACAGATATCCTTGAGTTCATGCTAATACATGGTATGGTGCCTGAAACCCTCCAGCTACAGAACCTCATCCATAAACTGGGCAAACAGAACAACTGGAGCCGTGCCAGGGCCCTTTTTAAACGTGAGTAAGATAACTTCACAACATCTCGAAATTAACAGTTGCTGTTGCGTCACCTGAACTGATCATACAAGAGTCATTTTTAGTGAACTGTTTACAGTTGTTGAGTCACATGTTGCGTCCAACTGTCAGTAAGTTCATTATTTTTTTACCTAATTTTATTTGTAAAATGTGAGATGTTTTTGATGTAGCATTGTATTGCCCAGCATGACACCAACACACAGAATATCCTGTATACTGTTTGTGTGTGTTCCAGGTGCTCAGTCAGCAGGGTTTTACGCTGCAGTGGTGTGTGAAAGAGACTCTCTGTTTCTGCCATGTAATCTCAGTGAAATTGAGATGACGATGGCCTTCGAGATGTTCATCACCTTTATTAATACTAAACTACTGGCCCCTTCTGGAGCCTCCCAACCACTTCTCATTACACTCAGACGGTAAGTTTGTATAATAGACAGATGAGCTTGCGAGCACTTTAATATTGTTTAGCCATGATTTGTGAGTATGTGAGTTGTTTGGTTTAGGCATGCCGATATTGAGGATGTAACGGAGAGTGTGTACTTGGCGGCTGGTTGTCGGCTTCTCTCTGCGGCTCTCATACCAAACCCCAAATTGAGCATCCGCTACACAGCTGTCAATAAAAGCCAAGAACAATTCTTTCACCTGGACCGTGCATCTGCCCACAAATGGTTTTTGCAGAACGAGCGGTGGGCACGAGAGATTTGGGCAAGCTAGCATACACACACACACACACACACATGCTTGTGAACAGTCCCAAAAGTAACAAATGTCTCAGTCTAATCAAAGGTTAATTTATATGTTACAGACTGTTGAAACTGGGACTTCTCAAAACTGTTTGCACAATTTTTTGTGGTGTTTGTTTTATATATTTCTTGGTTAAAACATTATTGAAGGACAAGACTGCTTAGTTTTGAGTTGTAAAAAGAAAGGTTTTGTAATATTTAGTTTCATGTTCTTAACAATTTCAACTTCCAGAGATTTACATCGGAATCTGCAAACTTAAGTCGTTCATGTGGAAAGAAAAAAACCATTAACAGCAACAACCAGAAAATAACTGTTGCCCCAAGTATATAAATATTTAAAAAAAGTCTAAAATAGTTTTGTATTTTTGAAACTCTCCATTTTTTTCTACTAAAGGCTTTGATAAAGATTCAACACAGAGTTACTTTCACTGTTACCATTTGCCTTACCAATAAGAAATTGTCCAATTCATTTGGTGATTAAACTGCAAAAACATATGGTACACATGGTAGTTCTGAAAGGCACTTATGTACATTCATATGAAAGACATTCCATCATTGGATACAATTTTGTCTAGTTCTGCAGTGTGCGCATTTCAGTTTGTTCAGTTTAACTGAAAATAATAAAAAAAAAAAAAGTAAAATCAATACCAATCTGAAGTCTACTTTTTATTGAATTTTGTCCACAGGGAGACAACACAATGTTCTTGTTTTTCAAGGGCCATTTCTATGCATATCTGTCTTTAAAAAATGAGAATACATTGCTGTATGTATGACACTTTGACCCCTATATTTAGTCATGGCCAATGGAAGTCTGTTTGGACAAGGAGAAGTTTTCTTTTCACTGTTAACACTGATTTGGTAAAAAATTAAATATGTACAGCCAATAAATAAGAAACATTTGTTTTTTGAAAGATCTTTGAAAATGGAATGTAAATCCAATTTGGAATTCACTCAATTGAACTGGAAAATAACTCCCTTTTTGAAGGACTATGTGAATTGTCCTAAGAGATTTTTTTTGTAGCTTAATAAGCAAAAATTTTACATTTAAGCAGTGTTAAAAAATTCAAAAAAAACTATAGCGGACAACATAAGATTTAAGAATATGCTTAAAATTAACAATATTTTAAGATTTACACAATTTGTTTATTATCTGTATAAAATTAATTTCTCATTTTGTTGATTCAAAAATGGATAACCAATACAAAAAAAATTCATTTTTGCCTCGCTTTTATTCTTGGGTAAGAAATTATATATTAAAAGTAACTAATCCAGATAGTTATCAATCCCAATGTTTTCGTATATGCTCTTAATATTGTATTATTGGCCATAAATAACAATTAACGCAAACGTTCTTTTACTGGTGCAAGAAAATGCATAAACACCCAAGACTTTAAAATTAAAATACCATTTTTTTTAATTGTATTTTTCCAAAAACTTAACTAGCAAGTCCTGTGTTGAAAACAAGGCAGTAATGGCTCCTTGGAAGTTTAAGGTGGTGCATTCTCCGACTCGGACCTCCAGACTTCGCGGCAGCCCCTGTTGTTCTCCATCATCAACATCCTCTGTGCCCCACATGCGAACAATCGCTACTCATGTTTGCGGCTGGAGTGGGCGCTTTTTCCCCACCACAGATCTGCTTCTCAGTGGATTGCTGGATGCGGTTTTGGCTGCAAAAAAATGGAGAAAACTCTTCCAACCCACAGTGCAGCTCGTGTGATGAGGGGAACCCCGCGGGCTTCTACTGTCTGGACTGTCAACTTTGCGGTGACTGCGTGTAATTCACCAAAGATCACCTCAACACGGCGAGGAGATGTGAATCCGGTACTCCCAAACTCTTTATCTATCCTCAGGACTGGGCCAACTTCTGCCAGCCCAGCAACATGAAAATGAGGCGAGTTCGGGGAGAAGGTGGACCCGGGCTAGTTGTAACAAATCTTTCTCTTTATCTAGGTTTAAGGTAAAGTCAATTTTTAAACGGAAATAACCATTTACATTCCTTTATAGTTAATCGAAGCCCTGCTTTCTTGAGACAGCATATCCCAGTAAGAGGGGAAAAAAGTTTATGCAGCATTAAAACTGAAATTGACTTTTTTTCCCCTTTAATTCATTGACTTGGACTTAAAGGCACAATATGTAAGATTTTTTAATTAAAATATCCAAAAACCACTAGACCAGTGTTATATATTTTGTCGGAAGGAGCGGAAACGGTCGACTGTGGCATAATAAAAGCTCTGCTGCTTTCAAGCCGTGTGTCACGCTCGTTCAGCGGCCTCGTTTCTCTTCGATGGCTTCCAGCCTCACCCTGCTTCATTCTACAACATTAATAAATCATTAGCTCAACCATGAACATGATTTCTGCCCGAGTCCCGTCGGATTGCGTCGGCTGTGTTCTGTAAGGTTACAGTTAATGACCGCTATATTTAACCGGGAACATTCATTTTAAGAAAAACCTGAAAGTTAAAGAGGACATCACATCAATCACAGGTTGGAGTTTCTACAAGATGCTGTGCAAGATTCTCGATCACTTACTTTCCAAGAATCTGTCCAGACTCCAGACACACGCAACCATTGGGGTTCAACTCTTTGCCTCGGATGGCTCTTTTCTCAAGTGTGCTTTCAAAGAAGTTCACTGGAAACACTTTGACTCCACTGATGCAAAAGCAATGGACTTTGCTTTGCATTTGCATTGCTAGCAAATCACTTTCTTATTCTTTTATTTTGTTGTGTTTTGAGTAAAACTATTTTGAGCTCTGCACTGCTAGCACCAGCCCTGGCTAAGCCACAATCACAGATGGTCAAATCAAAAAAAAAAAATGACCAAAACACAAACCCCAAAGATTTGAATGAGCACATTATTTGCTCATTTAACGAATCTGATAATGGTTCTGTATTATTTAACTACAGAGGCAGTTATATATTTCAATATATCAAGTTAATATTTCTATGGTGCCTAAGTCACTGTTTATAAGTGTGTAGACGAGTTACCATTTAGAGATAAGAAAAAGAGAAATTAAGTTTTGTCTATGCAGTACTTTTTCACTTCGATAAATATATAGGAGCTGGAACAATGGCGTTTTGAAGTTTAAAGGGGTCATATGATGCGATTTCAATTTGTCCTTTCTCTTTGGAGTGTTACAAGCTTTTGGTGCATAAAGAAGATCTGTAAAGTTGCAAAGACTAAAGTCCCAAATCCAAAGAGATATTCTTTATAAAAGTTAAGAGTCAACAACGCCTATCTAAAACGACTCGTTCTAACACGCCCCCACATATCTACGTCACGATGTGGGAAGATTTGCATACAGATACAGATAGAGATTATTTTTGGCAAACAAATGGTATTCTTAAAGACTTCTTTTCTGAGACTCTATGTTGCTGCTGCTGCTGAATCTATGGCACCATGGCAAAATCATCATTTAATAAAATGCTGCATACCATGAAAAATGAGCAGGAAACGTCATTCTAAAAACAAATATAAAACGTGACCAGAGTATTCCGATTAAAAAACAAAACTCTTTTGAACTGGGTCTTTTAAAATGGATCTAAAAACATACATAAGGGAGCCAGTGGGCCTGTCTAAATATCCGTATTTGGGGCCTTGACCACTTGAGAGCATGTGCATGCAACAGGAAGTGCAGGATGTGCCAGGTCTGAGAAATTCCAACGCTCAGTGCCCTTAACACACTAAATCCACACTATTGCTAAAAGCGCTTCATGAATTTGAAGGTAAGAGTATCCCAGTCTTCATATAGGAACTTCATGTGCCTTGAAATCATGACAATGTGAGGAAAGTTATATTAATTACATATTACATATAATTTGGTTGTACAGTGTAAAGTGATGCACACTGTAATTAGTGCAGAGATGAGCATGTGTATGTTTTGTAAAACTTTGCAACTATTTTTGATCACTCAATTAGAAGCACCACAATTATTAATTGTGCTGTCTGTTACATAAGGACTACTAGCATGCATTTAGAAGTTTGTTTGTTTTTCAGGTACAAAGAATTGAAAATCAAAATGTAAAGAAAGCTCTGTAAAAACTTTACTTCATTTTACGTTGTAAGTTTTGTGTGTCCCATTGAGTAATCAAACGTTCTATACAATAGCTCTCTTCAGTTGAACACTTGGGTCAAATACAGGAAATAAGTCATCTAAATTGTTAAGTGCAAAGTCCGCAAGTATGGGTATTGGTGGGACCGGCTCAGTGTAGTCCGATTCACAAACAAAAACTGTCTTGTGAGACCGTTATTTTTAGTGAATCGCAAATATTCACGGCAACCAGCCCATTTTATGAGCAATGTCTCTGATGAAGCAGACTATTTTAACGAATAGTTACAAACCCAAAAACACTGTCCTGTCTGAAACACTGTCATGTGTATTTTACAGAGAGAAAATTATTGGATGTGCAAGCAAAGATGACATAAGTAAAAAATCTTTCCAAATGAATCGGAATCAAATCAGGAAATCTGTATTGGTATTGTACCCTGTGTTTTATTATTACAAGCCTTTTGTTGTGTCTTAGTTGGTTATTTTGTGACCAAATTATATAGAAATCTGTACTAAACACAAGTGTTCACATACTTTTCCTGCAACTGAATCTATATATAAAGTTTCTTGTAGTTTTCATATATGGTGAGCGTGATTTCACCAAGTACAACATGTTCCTGGATCAACATCCTTGCTGATCCTGGAACAACATTCCAATTAACCAATCAGAATTAAGCGATAACTTTTCAGGAAATATTTGTTTTAGGCTTACGATCAGGGTTAGGTGCTTCTACACCCTTGTTAATCAGCTATCATTTCACACTGTTTTTAGGAATAAATTATGGGTAGGGTTAGGTTTAGGGGTAGGGATTGGGTTTAGTCTATATTTTTGGACAGTAATGTTGATCCAGGATCAACAAAAGATGTTGATCCAGGAACATGTCTTACTTGGCAAAATCACAGCGACTTTTCAGGAAATATCTGTTTTAGGCTTACAATCGGGGTTAGGTGCTTCTACACCCTTGTTAATCAGCTATCATTTCACACTGATTTTAGGAATAAATTATGGGTAGGGTTAGGTTTAGGGGTAGGGATTAGGTTTAGTCTATACTTTTGGACATTAATGTTGATCCAGGATCAACAAAAGATGTTGATCCAGGAATATGTCTTACTTGGCAAAATCACGGCGACCTTCATATATGTAATCCATTTATT